GAACAATTGTGGAGCCTAAATTAAATTCGCCTAAATGTTCTCCTTTCCTCATCGGAACGCCTTCGTCGTCCTTGCCGGTTACAAAGCTGAAATCGTTGTAGGATCCTTTGCTGTAGCGAGGGCTGTTGGTCTGCAGCTTCTGCCAAGGGGGAGGAAGGGAGAAGGGGTTACTGGGCAGGTGAGGGAGACGCAGTCGGCCACTTTCACTCTTTGTCTATTGCCTGAACTCGCTCTGTGCATTAAAGATGGGCGAGGCTGATGGGGGAACCCAAGAGGGGGGGGGGCTGCCTGATCCTTAGAAGGGGCCTCTGATACTCCTGTGGAAGCTGTTCCAGCCTTAGCCCAAGTTGGGTGTATTCATAGTGGCAGGAACAGCTTTCGGGGTTCACCTAAGCTGCCCCCTTGCCAACTCATATCACCTGGTGGCCCTCCAGCTACTCTGGAGCCTGGTCTCCTTGTGCCTCTGGGGCAGGGCCAGGACGCAGAGATGCTGGGGCTCACCCACCTGATGGCTGCTCAAACAACCCAGCCTCCCTTTGAGGTTTCCTCACCTGGTCGCAGTAAACGCGGATGGATCCCACGTTCTGAGCTCCCACTGCTGTCAGGGAAAAGAAGCCGTGTTTCCAGTAGCCCGACAGGACGACCCGCTCGTTATGGCAGAAGAGTTCTTTGATCCAACGTGCTACGCCGGGGTTCACAGACATCAGGGCACCTGGGTAGAGAGCAAGCCTCTGCTGTTGTTTTGGCTTATCCAGCTGCTGCTTCCAGGAGCTGGAAACAGAACTGAGGTGGTGGGAGGGGAGATGCCAGAAGACCATCTGGCATCTTTGAGGCCATCTAATGTCTCCAGCAATGTTGGAAAGTAGTTCGGCAGAAGTTTGAAGACAATGTCTACCAGGAAAGGAGTATCCCAACACCCGTTGAACCTATTGCTCTGGTGGGGAGGGGTTAAAGTGTAGTATTGCAGGCTAGCTCTGCCCACAGACTGGAGTTTGTTCCTGACTGGCTAGAGGTTGATTCGAGCCTTTCATCCTTCCAAGGTCAGTAAAATGAGGACCCCGATTGTTGGGGGCAAGAGGCTGACTCTGCACACTTGCACAGAGAAGGCTGTAAAGCACTGTGGGGTGGTACGTACTGTAAGTTTAAGTGCTAGTGAAGAGAGAGGGAGAGGCGGCTTGCCAGGGCAGGCTGAGGGAGAAAAACCAGAGGTGGAGATTTGATTCCTTCCCCCAGGAAGGGATCTGCCCCAAGGTTACATACAGCTCTGGACCACTGCTCTGTCTGAGCTGCTGGAGGGATGATGATGATGATAATAATAATTATATAATAATAATAATAATAATAATAATAATAATAATAATAATAATAATAATAATAATAATAATAATAATAATAATAATAATAATAATAATAATAAAGTTGGAAGGGACATTGGAGGTCATCTAGTCCAATCCCCTGCTCAGGCAGGAAACCCTATACCATTTCGGACAAATGGCTGTCCAGTCTCTTCTTAAAAACTTCGTGTTGGAGCAATCACTGTTTCTGGAGGCAGGTTGTTCCACTGGTTAATTGTTCTCACTGTCAGGAAGTTTCTCCTTAGTTCTAGGTTGCTTCTCTCCTTGGTTAGTTTCCACCCGTTGCTTCTTGTCCTGCCTTCAGGCGCTTTGGAGAATAGCTTGACTCCCTCTTCTTTGTGGCAGCCCCTGAGATACTGGAAGACTGCTATCCTGTCCCCCCTCGTCCTTCTCTTCGTTAAACTAGACATACCCAATTCCAGCAGCCGTTCCTTATATGTTTTAGCCTCCAGTCCCCTAATCATCTTTGTTGCTCTTCTCTGTACTCTTTCTAGAGTCTCAACATCTTTTTTACATCGCGGTGACCAAAACTGGATGCAGTATTCCGAGTGTGGCCTTACCAAGGCATAAGAAAGGTCTCCTCCCAAGAGCTAAAGTGGCTGCTCTTCTGGATCTCTGAGGGGGCCAGAGGTGACGGGAAAGTGCTTAAGGTCTTCCCCTCCCTTTTGGTCTCCTGATCCTACTCACCTGCTGCTGTAAGTGGGGCTTCACAAGACTCCACCAAGTCTGCCCTCCCCCCAAGGATGTTGGCCTCAATCAAGCAGGGAAGAGTGTGCAATGGGCCACCGGGCCTGGGGAGCCCAGAGTGGGATGGAGCCCACCAAGTGGCTCATTAGATTTATTGTTGTCACCGGGGTGGGGTGGGGGGGTGTTACTTTTATTCTTTTATATCGGGTTTTTATTTTATATCGGGTTTTTATTGTTTGTAAGCTGCCCAGAGTCACTGAGAGTGAGTGGGCAGCCATACAAACAAATAAACACAGAAGCAGTTTGCAGGCCACTGTGATGAAGGGATGCTCCTGAGCGGTCCTCGGAGAAGGACGAACGTTTCACTTGTTCTGTGAGCAAATGTCAGTGTGCGAAGAGCCGCTGCCTCTGGGTGTCCCACCTGTGGAAAGGAGACCTACCTGGGAAGTGACGCCGGTGAGAGACCTTCCAGTCGGTGGGCGAGTGGAAGCAGTGGTAGTCTCCGGGGGCCAGGTAAATCACACAATGGAAGAGCTCGTTGGTGTCTTTTGTGACCAGCTGTTTTTGGAAGGAGTCGCAACAGGAAGCTGGAAAAGAGCAGCAGAAGAAAAGGTTTTCTGAGGAAAGAACCGCAAAGCTGCCTTGTTATTGACCCAGCAACTCAAAGCATTCACTCCTTCACCTACGCCAAGCAAAGCTAAAGGCATCGTCTGCACGGAGAGCCCAACACAGAGTGGTAAGACCAGGAGGCAACTGGGTGGGGAGGGCACCTACAACAGCCATAGGATTAAAAACAGGGCAAGTCTAAATGTCCCTTGAGACTTGGTGGTGGGAATTAGCGTTTTCTTGGCAACATTTTAGTTCCACAAAGCATCTACTGCTGCATGTGGTCTTATTCGGGACGTGGAGAAACTGAGAAGCAAAGCTGGAATGGCAAATCCAGAAGCGAACCCAAGACAAACAGAGCGGGGGCACACCGGCATGCACCTTCCCCCGGCGAATTTCACTGCATATCTTGATATTAAATATATAGCCATCCGACTGAGTTACGGAATACCCACTTATTCCTTGTGTCTGAGGGTTAGGAGCTGAACAGCCCCTGGGGCACCAAACACTGCAAACGTGGCTTCTGAAAACACTACCCTGGAAACCATTACATCTTCTGACAAGAGATCTCTGGAGATCTTGCTCATCCTTGGCCAGAGAGCAGACCGTGAGGGCAGGGCAGGGCAGGGCAGTGATTGAAGGTCTGCCCGAGACCTTCTCTCCGTCCAGCCTACCTCGTGGCATAGATGTGGACGGAGGTTGCCTCCTTGGAGGACAGGCAGGGGATACGAGCAACCAAGAGAAACCAAATAAAAGCTGGGCCTCCTTTTCGGAACGGCTTCTCTCCCTCTCCTGGGTGCCCTGCAGTCCTGAGCTACAGGGCCGCTTCCTCAGAAGACCTCCTCCCACAGCGTCTCTTGAACCTGCCTCTTCCGCTGAGCCGAAGGGGGGGAGGCAGTGCAGATGCGAAGTGCACCTGGTTCCTTAACTCTGGGCTGCAATTCCTCCTGATGTTTCTAGGGAGTGAGTGGAGACTGGCTGCCTCCTCTGGGTGCAATTCATCCTCCTAAAGAGGCTTCAAAGACTGTCCAGGAAGGGAGAGGAATGCTACCCTCTGCCCCACCAGCCAAGTGCCTGGAAAGAAGGATCCTGGAGCTCAAAGGGAAGACTTACTTGGATTATTTTGGCAGTTGTCGTGATTGGCATGGGGACCCAGGAAGGACTCAAGAGAGTAAGTGATGCCTTTTACTTGCTCCACTTCACAGTTCTTCACTTGCCCAAAACTGAGGATCTTCCCATCCGAAGGGCTGACCTGTGGAGGAGAAAGAGCAAAAAGAAGCTGGATGCTATTTTCTCTTCCACTTCTATTAATTAAACAATATCAATGGTTGCCCAAACTTACAGTATTTTGCACCACTTTCATTAAATGCAATAATAATATGGGTGTAATTAACCTACCCAAACAAGCAGCATTAAAACAATTCTAACTGAAATTTAAAAGGGTTTTCTACAACCTCCCTATCCAAAAATGGAAAAGGAGGAAGCAGAGCAGCTGCCCTTTGCCTGGGAAACTGACCACGCTGTGCCGGTCGCAGACGGGCCGTGCCTGGGGTTTCAGCTTCCGTCGGAAAAATTCACTCAGGTT